ACAACATCTCTCAAAACTTCCAGAACAAAATTGCTGATTCCCACTGTTCCAGTAACACTTTCTATTATTATCTGTTCATGTCTCTATGAATTTACACCTGGGAGATGAGCAGACCAGGTACCCAGCATCCAACGTGTGGAGGACTCAGCTCTCCTTGCTGAGGCTGCACACAGGCTGCAGGCCTTAGCTCACATGTTCTGGCCTTGCTGCACCACATTCTCAGGGTCACAGCGCTGAGCCTCTCCACTCCCTCTGGGCCTCAGCATGTCAAAGCTGAGAAGTCAGCTTTGGTCACCTGTATATACAATCTATTATATTTTCTCTTGCCACTTCCCAAATTTTCTTCTTATTTTTTGGTTTTTACATTTTGATCATCGGGGTTCTTTGTGATTATTGTATTTGGGGATTGTTGAGCTTCTTCAAAGCTCAAATCAATTTTTGCATCAAATTTGGGACATTTTAGGCCACTGTTTATTGAAAGGAAATTTCTATCTCTCTTCTTTCTCTTCCTTCTAGTATTCCATATTCTATTATGTATCTGTTGGCATGCCTGTTGTCCCAAAGATTTTGTGAATATATTAATTTTTCTTAAAAATTTTTCTCTGTACTTCCATTGTTAGTTTTATTAATTTTTCCTTGAGTTTGCCAATTTTTATGCAACCACAGATATGCATTTGTGACTCTCTATTGAAATTTTCTTTTCACTTATTATATTTTTCAAATCCAGTATTGCCACTTGATTCTTTATACATTTTATTTTTATTGAGTCTCTAATGTTTTATTATTGTTATTGTTCTCATACTTGCCTTCAATTTTTCCAACATGATTTTAATAAGTATTTTGAATAACTTTTATCATTTTCTCTCAAATCTAACACCTAGATACTCAGAGATAGTTTCTATTTTTCACTGAAGATATGTCACCTATTCTTGTTATTATGCATAGTTCATATTTTTTTGTTGAATCTAAACATATCTGATAATCCATTATGGAGATTTGTGTTATAATTTCTCCCCTGAGGGTTGTATTTTTTCTTTGCTTCTTTGGCTGGATTAAGTCTTTGAAATCTTGCTTTCCCATAATTTGCAGCTGCCGATGTATCTGTTTAATAATAAAATATTTATGGTTGTGTTTTTGTTGTTATTTTGTCATAGAGCTGAATTCTATATTTCCTCCCTAAATCTTTGTACCTTACTGCTTTCCCAGTGAATGGGCACTTTGTTTAAATAGATACCTTAATCTATCCATCTACTAATCTTCCAAAATGAGTCTGGCTTTAATGATTGCAAAAATACACAATTTTTAAAAAGAAAACAGTGTATGTGGAAATTTAAAAGTTCAATTTTCATGAAAAAAAAAGACTAAATATGTCCACCTAATTAGGCTGCCATGCTCTCATGCTCTGCAAATGGACTTTTGTGTATAGAAGAAGACGTAAGGTTCAGGCCATTTTTCTATCAAGCATTTTCCTTCCACTGTGTTATCTTGTGCTTTCTAAGTACACTTTTACAATCTTAAGGTTGACCAGTAGTTTGTGAATTCTTGGGCCTTCTTCAGTCTCTGACACCTATGTGGGAAGGCTGAATCAAGAATATATTTTCTCGGGCCACGGATTTAGCTCAGTGGTTTAGCCGCTTGCTGCGCAAGGGCAAAGACCCGAGTTTGATCCCAGGTACCAAAAAAAAAGAATATATTTTCTCCAATCATGACTGCAACTTTTGGTCGTTCTTATCACTCATGGTGAAGATCTTCACTTCCATCAAATGTACCTCTTGGTATTCTTGGTACTCTTGGTACCTCTTTGGCCCTCTTGGTACAGTGGTTTGTCTACTACTTGGAGAAAGGTTTCCCCTTTCAATAGTTTCTATGCACTTACTCCTGCTGATAGTCTGCCCCTCATAAAATCTCCATATCCTGTAGCTGAAGCAGGGAGTTACATGAGAGTATCCCTACACAAGAACACCTTAGACTTACCGAGAATTCAGTAGTGTTTTTAAATTTTATTTTATATATATTTTTTGGTTTTAGCATAAATGCTTCTCAGATTGGCATAGGCTGTTAGTAAACATTTAGAGTATGAAAATGGTTGTTTTGGTCAAATTTATCTAGCATTAAACCTGATACTGGGGGAGATGATTTGCTGACTTTTTCATTCAGCCATAGCCAAAAGTACCACCTTTTAAAGGAATTTCATTTCCAAACCAAAAAAGAACAATTAAAAATAAAAAGATATAGACAAACTTTTCTCATGATTATAATTGTTAAATTTCGAAATAAAATACTGCCATAAAAAATCCAATAATGTATTAAAAGCATATTAGGAATAAGTATTATATACACTAAGAAAACAATAAAAGCTTAATTATCAGGAAATTATATTAATAGACAAAAAGAAATAAAGTATTTTATTAGTTTCAGAGAAGGCATTGAATAATGCAGCAGAGAAAAATTTGCTTTCTGAAACTTGCTAAAGTTTGTAGATGACACTCCCTCTAATAAACATCATACTTAATGCAAAAACGTTAGAGATATTCTCTATAACTAAGGAGAGAGATGGAAGTTTGATGTTCATTGTCACTAGTTTTTAGCTTTTTAATGCAAGATATTTGACACTGATATAAAGAAAGAAAAATAAAGGATTATTAAGATTGAACAAAAATATAAAACTCCTATTTTATACAGATAAAGTTCACACTGCCAAAAAATAAACAATAGAATCAAAGATCCACCAAACATATAAAATTGTCTAAGACCAATCCACAGAATCAATATAATTTGTCTGTAACAACACTAGCCAGAGAGAAACACCATCAAAAGCAAAGTACTAATCAAAATAGCAATAAAATTGTACATTTTCTAAGCATTAACTAAAATTATTTTTATAACTGTAGAGAATATTTGATACATTTCAAAAAGTATATAAAATTATAATTAAAGGTAAGTTACGCTTTTGAGTTAGGCAAG